TCCTCCGCTGTGCTGGAGTTAGTATATTCATCCAGTACGTAACTGCTTCTACGTGCTGATACCCTCTCATAAACTCGTTGTATACTTAGAATTCGCTCCTGTGACTGTCTTTTTTCCCCTTCAGCACCACTTACTGATGCAGTGCATTCATCGGTTACCAGCAATGTGTGCAACTCCCTGCTCCTCTGACTGTATTTTTTCTCCTAGTCATGATGGTATCTCGCATGCTGCTCATCTTTTACTCTATTTGATTCGCAACTTCACCTTTCTCGGCACCGTTTCTCTGTCATAGCTTTTGTGCTTCGACATGCTGCTTAGGAATCAACCTCAGAAGAGAAATGCATAAGAAAACCGCGCCTCATTCGCCCCGTCCTGGACCAGATAAATATTGCAGGACGGTTATGGAATGCCTTCAGAAGCAATAAGTGAGAAAGAGGACACCAGCAAAACTAGAAATTAGGCACACCCATTTTAGGGGCCCAATCACTTCTTTAATTTGAAGAAAAAACTTCTTCTAGGAAACACAGAAAGAGATACCAATGAAGCCTGTACATAAGAAGGATTCTCTGAAATCTTTCGAAAGCGCTTCCATCATTGCCGTTTCATTTGCGAAAATCTGCACATCTAATTTGTAAGTGTGATTAATAATTGATAAATTCGACAGCTGGTAACGACTTTCCAGTTCACGTGCAACCCAGCGCGCTTCGCTTTCGTCGAAATTGCTCCTTGAATTAATAAATAATTGACCAGCATGCCGACTGCCGGTGCGATGATGCGCTTTTTGCATAGTTCTCCGCAGGTTTTTTTTCGCTAACGGCACTGTTTTTCCACGTGCTTCTAGCTAAACAAATTAAGACTGGCCGTCAGGACTGCCAGGAAACGTCCTCTTAAAATTTCAGCTTTCTAGCTTTTCTGGTTTCCGAGTTAGCAGCTTACCCGCAAAAAACTTTGATGGGGCTTGTACGTGGGGACTACGCGGGCAAGAGCATCCATTTTGGGGATGGGCCCGTATTTGCATGAAGATTAACTTCCTAAAGTTTCAGTAGCTTTTGTGGGTCTTAGGGTGAGAAATCGATACAAACGAATACACAGACACATACATACACACACGCAGTCAACCCCACGACAGTATGCGTTTTTGCATTGCATAAATGCAAAAAACGCGTAAATGGAAACGAATGAGCAAAGACAACTATGCCAAAGTAAAACAATTAACAGATTAAGAGCCAGCACACAAGAATTCTACTGTTTAGGACTGTTTAAGCACACTGTTACTGTTCCTCCTCTCTCTGCGCCCTTCCGACTCTCGAATAATCCTACATTCCCAACATATCTAAAAAACCTGCTGCAGCTGCTACTGATGGTCTAAATCCCCATTTGTGTAGCCGACAACTCGCTTAATGCTGTTTGGGTATCATTCAACAACCCTGCCTGTCTGTTGTCTCTCATTCTTGTCATGTGTGCAGCATCCTTCGTCCTTTTGATATAGACACACCAATTAAGAAGCGTAGCATCTCATTATCAGTGCGAAAAAAGTACAATAGCTTACGGGAAAACGAGTCCAAGGCTTCTTTTGTTACGTCGACCACAAGAACTGTAAATTGACTTCATATTATCCAGAAGTCTATCCACATCTCGCCAATCTCCTGTCACTTGAAAAGGCTTATAGAGCTGCTCGTCATGCTTTACGGATGAAGACATCTGAAAGATTGCAACAAATTATATAGGATTTTTCTTAACAATTATTCATCAAATCATATCCCTGTTTATTCATCGCTGCGACTAGCAGAACCGCCAAGAAGAAGCAACGTCAATGATAAGCTTCCTGCAATACTAAGACACATCAGCAGGAGTTATATGAGGCCTGTCGTTAGAAAACCTGCAAAAAGCCGGCAAAAAGACTGTAACAAGAAAGTGAATATTCCTATAAGAAGGGTAACAAGGAACAAAAAGATGCTTCAGAGTAAATTGCTTTTAGATGTTACTTGTCGCATGTTTATAAATTGATCAAGCAAAAAGTAAAATACGGCAGTGAGCAATCCTAGCCTATATGAGCAAGGAATTTTCCATCTATTTATAAGTCCAATTTCAGAATTTGTTTTGTTCAGCTAAGCCATCCTCGAGCATCGTGGCATTAGGAACAACGCTTTTTGTAACAATCATTTGCTTTTTAATGCATTTTAAACCGTGTATCATTGCCTTATTTGGATAAATTTAATATATTTTTGGGAAAAATTCCGTGGTCCTCTAGGAGGAAAAAATTTTTTGGTAAAAACTCTTTGTTTTCTTCGTTTGCTCTGTTCAAATGTCTCCAAAAACCTCAAGAAAAACCTTTAAAAAAATTTTTAAGATCTCCCAAAACCTATCTCACGATTCCCAAAAAACTTTTTTACGATTTCTAAAAACTGCCACAGAAAATCTGACATAATACAAATTTAGTGGAAGATATGGCAAATCTAGGGATGGCAAGAGGTATCATTTCAAGTAAATATTTCAAAAAAGGAGCGCGTATTTCGTTTTTTTTGTAGGCCGGCCTGTTAACTTAGATGTGAATGCTAGTCGATGAATAGGTGTGGAAAAACGTGAAACCTGGACAACGATGATAACGAGAGGCAGCGAAATGAGCACTGGCACAGCAACCTCGAGCAATGTCCATAGCTTGTTTCGCCACGCACCAATGAACTCCTTGTGAAGCAACAGGCGTAACTGCCTTCGGAAACTCATTCTCCTCCTACCAGAAGCTGCGCACTCCTTCGAAGCACTTCCTCTAGCAACGGGGTTGCTTACCAAAGTTGGATGCTGTGTCGACTTGAATTCTTCATTTTCTGAAACAAACAAATATCAACAACGGCCTCTTAATGGATTACTGAATGGTACCACGAATTGGCTGAATGGCTTGCTGGAACTCAGTCACTCCAAACAAAAATACCCGAGCAGCGGTCTCTTGCTGGCCACCATGGATAACGAATCCCAGGCACTATGGATTGATCGAGTAGCACCTTATGAATGTTACCCGAATAATACATATTTCTTCTAAATTCTCTGATTTTTTTTATCATAGACATATATCAAAAAAGAGTGTATTTTAATACATATGTTAAATATAAATTAAAAGTTTCAAATATGTATGTCTTTAATATGTGTGTATTAAATATATAATTTTAGGAGCTTAGTAATTTTAAATATACGTTTTAATATATTAGTATATGCATAAGTATAAATATTATTAAAAAAATCAAAGTATATTGAAAATAAAAAAAAAAATAATAGTCAAATGAACCGATCCTTCTACTGATGAATAATTGCCTCAGTGGGAAATTTACCCTCTCCACGATTCGCCCCGAATGTCAGGCAATTAGGATCGCTTTCAGCTTGTCGCTAAGAAACTCCAGAAGCAGGGACTATCGAAGACGGTAATTTCAAGAAGTGCTGCCATGACAGCAATCATGAAGGTGAAGATTTCGTGCAAGAATTGAAACAAGACGTCGGTTTTTCGGCGTAAATCTACGAAACGAATGCCGGGGAGTTCCGCTGATGATTGAACAGACGTAGCGGTACACCTCGACAGCGAACGACTTGTATGGAAGGTTCACAGACGATTCTGTTCGAGGATTCGTACTGTCAGAGATGCGTGGGAAGCACAAGAACGTAATCGCGATGGAAAAGCTGCCAACTGCATAGATGTAGACAATGACACATCTTGTTCTGGTCAAGCTCAAAAGCTGGGACTGGAATAGCGCTAAAAAGATGCGTTAATATGTCGGTATTTAAGAGATTTGGAACGAAGAGGCATGTTGAAATGCGCAGGACTACCGGAAAAGCACGGGCACCTCAACAGAGCGTACACATTCCTTTTCAGCACCACAACTGAACCTGGCCAGCTCAGAGACACTGCAGTAATTGTAAGCAAAAGAGAAAAAAAGAATGAATGGAAAAGAATGAGAGGAGCGAGCGAAGCCGCCGCAGGCAGTTCTGTCTTTTGACTGCTCCAGGTATTCCGCGCATTCCGGTCCTTGACATACAGTGACTAGTGCAGTAATCCCCGATGGTAGGATGAA